GAGAGGCCACGCCCCCTACTTTAAACTCAACGTCCCTACAACAGCCCGCCCCCCCAGTTTGTAAATCTTTTTCAATAGCCATTTTAAAAAAAGAAAAATCATTTTTTTAAAGTGAACTATGAAGCTACTGTATGGACTTTTGTTTTGGTTTGTTTTAGGTAATCTGGATTAAACAAACACACCGTCTGAAATAAAGTCATTTACGACTAGACATGTCAATGAACCAGAGCAAACACTGACAGACTGGGGATCACACACAGTACTTTATATGTAACTGCCTCTGATGAATCACCACCAACTCATTACGAAGCTAAATGAACAGCTAAATTTAAACTGAACTATCAAGCTACTGACCACTCATTACGAAGCTAAATGAACAGCTAATCTTCCTATGGGTTCAGTTATTTGTTATAAAATGTATTTGCTAATATTTTCCAACTTCCTTTCTAACCAGCACTGCTAACAATTACCACTCTTTCTTGACATTCTACCATGTAAGGTATGTAATACTACTGTAAACACAAGCTAAACTTGTCTTTTACTCTGCTGGGTTGAACCAAAATAACACAATCTTAAACCTTAAACCTTAAACCCAAAACTACTGACACCAGTTGTTGGTGTGGGTTTTTTTTTTTTTATTCATACTCTCAGTCAAATGAAGACTTGGTTTCACCAAAGCTCTGGCAAACAAGTTGCCATGGAGACTCAGCCTGTCCATATCCCCTGGTCCAGACCAGGCTCAAGTCCCAGCTCAGTCTAATCTTTGAGTCTTTTATACACAGTCAGTATCACATAGAGGGGAAATGGCACAATTTTACATTTCCAACGCATCAATATTGCACTGATATACATATATAAACACATATATTATATTTTATTAATTTAATCTTTTAAAGGAATACATTAAAAGAATTAGTATGGTACATCTACTCTGCAGTACACAACTCGTACTAAGATACCATCATTCTTCATCTTCATTCTGCAATACTCAAGAAATATAACACTCATTAATGGGCAGAGGAAAAACTGCATGTATTTTGTTGGTCTATGTCATATGTGAGTAAACTGGATTAGCCTCAGTGTGTGCATAAACAACAGATCGTGTTGGTATTACAGTACAAGATCCTGCTGTAAAGACATTGTTTAACCGTCACTTTCCGCAGACCTACACGAACATTTCACGAGGCAAATATTTCTTTAAATATGTGATAAAAATGATCTAGTTGCCTGGCAGCTTTGTGCTGCTCAACTGATTTCTGTGACTGATTGCAATTATCCAAGTGACAAAACACAGACTATTCTGCCTTCTCGAGAGAAACAGGTGACACAGTGTTACAGGAAGGAAAAAGACGAGCTGGGAAAAACAGAGAACGGGGCAGAGTTAATGAAGCAGGTGTGGAAAGAGAGAGAACAGACAAAGGAGGAGGAGAAGAGAATGGAAGAAGGGAGTGTAAATTCTTGTTGGGCTCAAAATGTGGACTGGCTGTTCAAACTGCTCAAGGTCAACCCCGTCCTGTGCTGAGATTGGCTCAAGTCCCCACGAGTCCCCTAAACGGAGTAGGCAGTAGAAGAAGAACTACTAACAGACTCAAACACAAGTAAGGTCATTTATGATTTTCCGACATCTCAGTCACACAAATACAAATACGTTGGTTTGTTTTTCATTAGCGCCTCCTAATAATTACGCCCTTTCATCTTCCGTTCCCAGAACATCTGTGATGAGGACTTTTAATTATCCAGAGGTGCATTTCCACATTTTGAGGTGAATTATAACAGGGCAATAACTCAAGTGTGTCAGATCAACAGCAGCAACAATAACAGCCACAGAGCCTAGGCCCAGGAAAGTGATTTAATATTAAGTTAAGTCGCTCAATAAAAAGTTTTTTCTGGGTTTCATAACACATCAGGAAGCTAAAGTACACATTAAATTGGTAATAAATGCTGGTGTACGGCCCGCTGGTAAATAGCCTCTAGCTGCAAACCAAAGTGATGTTAAATGGGTCTGACATCATTGCCGACCCATTCCAAATGCTCTTCGAGGTAATATCACCGACTCGGGTTTTCAGAGTCAAAGTACGTTTGTGTAATCTCTTGGTGATACGCTGTAACACTTTACTCCTAATCTAAATAAAGGAAATCCCTGACAGAGCCGCGGCACTATTTTTCTGCCAAGAACTTGCCAATGCACTTGCTGATGGGCTAAGCAACGGCACGAGGAATTATAAGTCCAGATCTGCTGCCAGTGTCTCTTGGCTCTGCTAGGCAGGAACACGCTCCACTCTACTGCCCATTTACTCCTGAGATATGGGCAGCACAGGTTTTACTCAGTGTTTACTCCTCAGGGAATTGGATCCATCCTGTTAAAGTTCAGGTCACTACTTCCTCTCGCTCAGTAGCTGCTGCTGCTCCTCCTCCTCCTCCTATGTAGTCTCCTACTTCCCTCTTTTTTTTTTTAATCCTTACAGTGCATCAAAAAGGATAACATCAGCATTAGCCTCCAGATCTGGTTTCAGGGAGTGTAAACCTGATCAGAGTCCCGGCGTGTGTGTCTGTGTGTCTAAGCTCATTTCAGGCTCTGCAGGTTGTCATAACTCAGAGGTGATGTGTCTCTGCATCACACCGTAAACGTCTGATTCCCTGCAAAACTTCATGTTAACAACCGGGGCCATAATGCTTTCATGATTAACTGTATGAGGAGTTCAAAAAAGGAGAAACAGAAAACATCAATCAGCCGCTGGAAGCAAAGACAAATTTAGGATCTTCGCCGTGTTCCTGACGTGGACCATGTGCACCAGCATTAATTCATAGACAAATCAGAGAGTTTTTGGTGTCAGCCCCCAGCAGGGAGGACGTGTCACGAACAGGCTTTTCACACTTTTCTCTCTTCTCTTGGACAGGATAGTCACACATACACATAGCAAATCTATTTAGTCACTTTATATTTTGCCATTAGAGTTCCTCAAGAGACAGCAACACTTGTCAAGTAGATAACGCACTAAGACTCACCACGGCAGAGTCCTGGTCCCTGTGACCTTAACTTGAACTGTGTTCAAGGTCCAAACAAAGTTGTTTTTTTTTTTTTAGATACTTGAACATACTGTACTTTGGAAACTGTAATCCCAGTCTTTCTACAAACACATTTTGTAGTGATCGAGATGCAGTGGCTTAAATATTTAAATAGAATATTAACATATATAGAATATATATATATAATATATAGAATCCTTGCTCGGTGTGTTTAAAACAAACACCCTGGAGCTTCAACTGCCATTCAAATGTCCTGGTCACTTTCTACTACCACCTAACACCAAAAGGTTCCAGGGTTCGATTCTATAGTCCCCAAATCCCAGGTTGAGTTGCTAAAGACTTTGCGAAATCACTACGTAGACAAATACATCTAAAACATTTGGATCAAACATATAAATCCCATATGATTGTTTGTTTTTTTTTCTCTCTGTGTGGTTCCTCTTAATAGCTCAAACCACTGAGACACCAATCTTTGATGAAATTAGGAAAATTGGTTCCAGGACCGATACTAAAATCCTTTTCCAATGGAGCTGAAATGACCTCCCAAAGACACAATGGCTCCACAGCAGGTACAGTCTGTGTTGTAATAGTGGCTGCACACAATGGAAACACAGGCAGGGTCTTAAGGCTGCAATCAAAACTTGAAAGGTGACCTATTCTACTGTGCAGCTCACCATTTCAGGGTGATACAATCAAGGGGCCTGGGTCCCTTTCACAGCATGAAGGTAATGATGGCAGCCATTAATGGTCATCTTTCACAGACAGTAAAATGCTCAAAATGTGGCACGGCGAGACGACGGCGGTGGAACATTTGGAGATTGATTATTATCAGACCTCATTGAAACATTTAATATTTGATTAGTTTGAGCCACGGCATGATTAAAAAGTGACTTTTCTTTGATCAGACAGATGATGGTTTCCACCCAAAAATATACGAAAACCTGAAGCATCAAAAGGTGAGGTATTTTTAATAAAAGTCTCACATGTGTGTCACATCCACATTTTTCTATTTGCAGGTGAATTTGCAGCTTCTGATGTTGGTTTTATCTGAGCGCCTGCAGGTTTCCTGAATTTAAATGTACTGTTTGTATCTCTCTGTTGTGTTGTTTTGGATTGAACTAGTCAGGGTTATGTTAATTGACTTTCAGCGGGTAGTTTGGTGCTGTTCTCAGAACGTGACCATTTTCAGAGGGGAGGGAAAAAAAGAAGAAAGAAAAAAAAAGGACTTTCAGTTGCCATTTCAAGCGGCCTTCTTTTTATGAGTCACTTTTTCCTCCCTCTACTTTAGTAGTCAAATCTGCAAGAATATATTTTTATCCAAGCATAAACGCTTTTCTGAATCTGTCCATTTTTTTGTGGATGACTTGGTGTACTGCTAGGACTGGAGCAAAATATTTAGACTTTAATTTAAGTTGCAGTCTTTCAAGTTTAATTTGAATGTTTGGTGCAGCCCTGCAGATTATTCATTAAACAAAGTCAAGTGTAATTATGAAAAAAAAAATTATAAGAAAAAATATTATAAAAAGGGGGGGGGGGTTTGAATTAATCTTAAACCGCCTAGTGGTTATTTCAGGTCGCTCAGTTAAACAGAGATAGTATTTGGACAAAGGGAGTCGGAGGAATAGGATGAATAATGTGAAGGCAAATAATATGGGAGCGTGCGTGATGACGAATATATAATAACCAATTAGTCATTCAAGATTCATACAAATAATACAACATAAAAAGTGATGTAACGTGTTCATTGAGATGAATACTAATACCTGGCTGCTCTGCTCTGCCTGAGATCATGAGTAGACAAAGACTGCCTGGACAAAGCTGCTGTTTTTTTATCCTGTCTTCTGCTGCTGCTGCTGCTGTTACTGCTGCTGCTGCACTGACTCTAAAAGCTTCAGTATATTCATGAAAGGAAGTCTCAACTGTCCTGCTTCTCTGCCACATCCAATGCATTATCTGAGTGTGAAGATGAAAAGGCAGGGCGTGGGGCTTGGAACATTATAGAGACAGATTGTATGTTGAGATCATTTGGAGCGGCTGCAGGACCCGTGCCTGTGCACAGCTGTGCACCTGATCAGTGCTGCTGACAGAGAGGAGAGGGTGGCAAAGCAAACCGCAAAAGGTCAGGAAATAAAATATAGCTCTCACTCTTGTTGTTCCACCAATCAGCATAGGTCAGCTGCCCTTTCCCTGCCATCAGCTGCAGCTCCAGCCTGTTTTTGATACTGTAGTGTTTTATGTTGGAAACAGGGCAGTACTGAACAGGAATGGGCTTCTGCTCGTGGTTGGTTAAGGCTTAAGGCGACAAGGATTTCTGCAGAGCGAGTGAGGAACACTAGGACCGATACCCAAACTTAGTCCTGGACTGAAGGTTATATAATTTTATGGAAATATGGAAAAATATTAATAACAATATGCATAACGTTTTTATTCGTAGAGTTGGTGGATTTTAGTCATTACCTTGGATACTGACAGTGGCTTATATAATGCTTTGAGCTTTCCTCATCAATATTAATCAGTCTACAGCAGGGGTCACTAACTATATAGTCAGGGGCTAAATATTTGTTGAATATAGTCATAAATGATGGGGATCACTGATAGTTATCTGAATCTCAGTTTTTTTTCAGTTGCTTTAATAGTGGAGACCAGACGTATTTTCTGTTTGATACTCACAATTTTGGAATCCAGTTGTGTGCTTGATTTGGTCTGCGAGCCACTAGTTGATGATCACCAGTATACTCAGTCATAGACTTATTTACTCTCCTGAGTTCATTGAAGCTGGTCTGGCACAAGACGGCGTCTGACCTTGTGTTGAAGCCTACACAAAGTCGAGCAGAACATGGAGAGAGTCAACATGCAATTCCAACACAATATCATTCAGAATTTTGTACAACACAACGACTTCAATCACTTGAGATGTGCACACTTACAGTGCTATTAAGTTGTTTTGCTGTTAGCAAACAAGCTGCAAGCTGACAACTGAGAGTGTATTTAGTCTGAGCCCCCTCCCACCTGCTACAGTATCTACTCATATCACTGCTCTGATGTGTCTCAAATAGGCTAAAGAGCCACATGTGGCCCAGGAGCCACAGGTTGCGGACTCCTGGGTTAGTCCCTGAAATCGTACCTATTTGAAAAGAAGCAGATGAAAAAGAAATATGTATGAGAGCGAAAGGTTCCGTGCAGCAGTCGGAGCCTAATTACAGCGGTGTTAAAGGAGCTGCACACGGGCGGCATTTTACTCTGTGAGTCACAAGGTGCAACGAAAATGTGGAATAACCATGATTAAACACCATATTGTTTGTGTCTCATTGGGTAACGCACACAGAGTGAAAGGTGATATCTCTGATGAGAGCACTCTGAAAGTTGGATAACATCGAGTATAATGAAATAACAAATATTGCCTCTCGTCGAGCAGAAATGGTATTTTGTGTGCTGTTGTGAGCTATTTCTCCTCTGGTATTATCTTGAATTAAATTTACATGCAGGGTTTCTGGTAATTACCACACTGAACGAGAGAGAGAGAGAGAGAGAGAGATGGAGAGAGAGGGACGCAGATAGAAAGACCGTTTTAATTGGATATTTGGCCCCTCTGGATGTGGACTGAACCATGAAGCAGTATCATTATAATCGTTCATCAGGTTCTAATTTGAACCCTGAATGCTCACTTCCCCACTGTGCTCCACACTCTTCAAAGCTTGTTTTTCCTATTAGTAACTTTTGTTTCCAAAAAAAAAGTTCAATTTTAAAAATACAACTCAATTATTTATTTCTTTACTCATAACCACACACACGTGCTTAGACAGGTTCTGTTTGTCTCTGTGAAAAATACGGTTGTGTGAATCAGATCAATTGTCACGTCAGTTTTCCCACAGACAGTACAGTGGCAGATTTGCAATCTGATGCGCAGAGTGAACCTTTGGCACAGGCGAACGGCATGCCCACACCCACACCTTCCTTCCTTGTGTGAATAAACAATTGAGTTCCGCCCAGTGGTCGGTCCATCACCAAACCGCCGAGCTGTAAGGATGTTTTCGCTGCTAGTTGGAGATGATGCAGACTCACTGAGGGGCCCTGGGGCAGTAAAAACACAGCTCAGAGAAACCCTGTCAACTCCACTGCCTGCTGATGTGAAATGACCTCATGACCTTCCAATGAACAGACAGGTTTCAAACCAGCAGATCACCGTACACCTGTCAGCGTGACAGAATGGAAACGAGATCACCAGCGGTGATTTCATTCTGCAAAGATGCCAGAGAGTCTATTAAGAGTCATTTTAAAAATTGTATTTTTAGAGTCGAGTAAACACTCGACAAAAACAATATTACAATTTACAAAATGCATAAAAAAAGAAAAAAGAAATCTGTGGACATTTGTTAAAAATATTGGTGGGAATCTCTGTGCACCTCACAATAGGACGCAATTAAAGTTATGACCGTAGGTGCCATTAAGTATGTGTTTCCTCTGGGGCTCAAACCGAAGACCTGCTGTGCGTAATGTATCAGACAGGAGTGATAACCACTGCAGTATGGAACCACAAAATATATATTATGAGATATATCGTGATGTCTAAAATTAAGATATATATTATATGAGATATATCGTGATGTCTAAAATTAGTTTACAGTGAGCATAGGTACTGGAACTTTTTGACCTAGACTTAAATCCCAATAAGTACAGCTCAGATCAGATGCATGCATCAATTTTACTTTCACATTGATGTAAAGCATTGGGAATCAGGGGAACAGTGCAGCATTAAAGGTCAAAGAGCAATTAAAATTAATTCACCTTAACAAAAAGCAATTTAGAAATTATGTTGATAAATGAGAGCTGAGCGATTAAGGTAATTAAGTAGATATGTTAATTTTCAGTTATCTCTGGTTGGTTTAAGGAATCAATGATTCCCTTGAGCAGTGCTGCAGGCTGTGACTGTCAGTCTGGACATCCATGGACCCACTGCAACCAAAGGCACTGCACATGCATTTGAGTGAAAATGTTCCACACTAAATTACACATACAACCGCCTTCTAGACTTCTGAATATTGGCCTTGGATTTCAACAGACTGCTAACAACACCATTAAGGAAGGAGGTCTATCCTCAGGGCCTAATACACCACATTATTAAGGTGCTTGCAAGACTGGGAAGAAACCATATTTCCTCTCTTTCACATAACATTTTTAAGGGACCAATCAAACAGTGCAGGATAATGATCGTCTCCGGTTGACAGGGTATTGTTTCACACACTGTGTATCCACTCCAGGACCTTATTTTTCAAATTTAGTAGTGCCTAAATGACTAAGCCTGCAATCGCACCACATATAAACGAGAAGGATCGTTCTACTGTTGGCTGTGAATGGGTGCGAAGTGGCGATGATGTGTGCTGCATTACATCCCATCTAATAACATTTGCTATTTTAGGAGGTGTAACATAAGTAAAACTAGCTAGGAGACAGGATATTGTGGGGGAAAAAAAGCAAGGGGACAGGCTGTAGGGCAGCTGTCCCACAGATTCGTGACTGAGGTGAGTCCATTAGAAAGTCTCTACACAGCTCTAACAGGTAAAAGTGCCAGCCATATGTCAGGTCTTACTGCATCCGGGCTTTTGTCTGGAAAACCCCAATTAGAACATTTCTTCTGTCACAAATTCGGCATGCCATTGCCCAAGTTTTGCTATGGAGGCAGCAACATGGCAGCGGTATTCTGGTCTGCTATAGAAGCCTGTAAGGGCCAGGAGCTGAAATACATGACTGACATGTCAACAGCATGTGCACAAAGCCACAAAGCACTGTCCGCACAATGGACTTTTAGAAAAGTCAGTGGGCTAATAATCAGTCTTTAGCACGAGCTTAAAATGCCAATCGATTGGAATTTCTTTTCTTTTTTTCTGCCATGGATCAGTCACAACCCTGTCACTGTAAAAACCTGCTGCCTGTCAGAATGTTTGAGCATACTGACTGATTGTACTTGATAGAGTGTGAGCTGAAAGGAAAAGCTTTTCATGTGAAGTACTATTTATATTCCTTAAGGGCATTGTTCTAAGGATGGTTAACTTTAAACAAAAAGATGGAAAAAAAAATCATAGAAATATCATGACGTTAACTTTTTTTTTATCTCAATGAATTTGTCCATTAGGAGAGCAACAGAGAGGGAGAGAGAACGAGGCAGAGAAGGATGGGGATGGTGGGCTAAGGACAGAGAGAGAGAGAGAGAGAGACTGCCTATTTCTTTGCAAGGGTTGCCATTAAGGACTTCAGATAATTAGTTAATGGTTGGTTAATTGTCAGTTGATGGTCAAACACAGACTACATAAATGAGCACTCTGGGCAAAATAAAAATATTTTCTATTTAATTGACACCACGCATCCCTTAAATAAATATTTATTTTTGTCAAACTCCTGTTTAGTTATTTTTTTAAAGCATCCAGACAGTGCTTCAAAGGCACAACGTCATCATTTTATAAAAATCCAATCCTCTAACTTGGCGGTCTCTAATAGGCGGGGTGCAGTCCCTCTACAGATCAAAACTGATAAAATAATAGTATAATAAAAGTATAATATTTGCTCAATTTAGTCTGAATGTTTCTGTTTTAACAGCAGCAGTTTCTCCTTTATTATTATTATTAAAATAATAATAATCATAATTTAAACCTGGAGGAACCATATGAATTTGCATTAGTTGTTGCTGCACAGCTCCTGTTCACCTAAACAGACCACACGCTGTTTAATCTTGTTGGGTATTTGAATGAGCAGATCAATGTGGATGACCTCATTGAGAGATTGTGTATCTCCGACATGTTGGAAAGCATCCTTATCTGGCTGTGCCTCGCAGGCATGAGAATCCTCTGTTACAAGCAAAGTTCAAATGTTAACATGCACACCTACGCCAGTCTCAAACTTTGATGGTAACAAATCCTGAAAAGGGAAGTGAAATTATCTCAGAGCCCTGGGTGCACAGGCAACAGACGGCACAGAGGAGCAAACCTACTGTTCTCCTGTGGCAGGTACAGATAACAACACCGGCCCACACAATCTACAATACACAGTGCTCTGATAAGATTTGTGTGATTACCTTCTATCAGTCACTCATGATCAGCTGCTGGGTTTGTCCAAACAGACAAAACGCATAACACAAAATAATCCCTCTGTACCTTCTGCTGCCTCACTACATCTTGCTTTTCGCACAACAACAACTCCCAGCGTTACGGGTGATGAAATTCTTGCTAATGCATCAGTTTGTATTGACCTGCTTGGTTAGCACAGACACATGCAGGTTTATAATACAGCCCTTATTCAGCTGAGTGGATTCATTTACACATGAATTCCTGCGTGCAGCGGGAATGTTGAGAAATTACACCTTTTGTACATCACAAAGGGCGGGTGCTGTGGAGACTGGTTTGCCCTTTTGATTAAGCTGATGCTAATGCAAAAAGGCATGTCAAACAGTGATCCAGAAAACCCACTGTTGGACATACATTAACTCGCATGTGCTTTCATTTTTTGGAGAAGAAGAATCATATAAAACCACCACATTATCCCGTGACCCAGTTGCAGTATTTTTCTGACCTACTTATTGGGTTGATCCTCCAGGGTTTGGCCTTTTTGCACTTGTTAAGCATGTACAAAGGCACACTACTTTGATGTGCAAGTATCGATTGCACTGATACAAGACTCTGGGCTGACCTATAGCATATTGATTCGAGGAAGCTGTCTGCTTTCTGCCTTGCTTCCAAGTTGATAAAAACTAATTGTGCAATGAGCTCACAGCTTAAAGCTGACAGTCAGAAGTGCATATGGAAATCAAAGTTAAAGAAGTTGGAA